GCGCTTATAATAATTATTTGTGTAAGATCATCAGCTGGCCTTATTCCAACGATATACAACGACATCAACAAAAAAGTCTTTATTTGTTCAAGGTACAGTGTTTAACTATCGAAGCATAGTGCATTAAGATCATGAAACGAGAGAAAAAATGAAAGAAACGCACATACTGTGTTGTGTATGTTGCTTCTCTCTTTTTCTGTTCTCTGAGAGAATATGAGTTCTATTACATTCGCTACTATTCCAGCAACGTCGTCATCTGTATACAGGTAAAATGAGCAATGGATCAAGTGTGATGTTATGTGCTTTAGTACTGTGCACAAATTTTAAAAAAAGAAACATCTTATCCGATAGTCTCAACTATTGTAAACAATATCTTCTAGGCATTAAGAGTAAAAGACAACCACATGAGCATTAATCAAGTACACATTCCTCACCATTTTATCCTGTTAGATTGACAGAGTAGCCTAAGATACTAGTATTCTTCGTTTCTCTTGTTTAGTAAGAATATGGAATGTTGTGGCAAGTACAGTAGAGTGGAAAGTATCAAAGCACAAATCATGAAAATTAAAAATAATGTTCATCTTTGATTCGTAGATATTTGAATGAAAGCACTCGATCTAGGTCTGTTAAAGAAGAATCGTAGCACACAGCTGAGGGCTTTTTGCTCTTATAAATATTTTTCTCCATTCGTTTCTCGTTTTTCTTTGGAGTTACCTTTTCTCTGTATTATGAACATCTCTTTTTAATATGCGTACGGTGCGCGAACTAAATCGAGAATACGCTCTGTATTAACCAATAGAAAAGGATAGAACGACAAAATCCACAAATTACCACGCTTGTATACGCGCTGGTCAGAATTCTCATTAGAAACCTAGGTACCGTTAGAAACACTGTGTGCGCAAAATACGGAAAAATGACTGTCAGATATTCTGTGGATGAGCCACTCATAACAGAAAAAAGGAAATTACTTTTAACCACGAGAGAGAAACTACTCAAAGACATGACCCGAAATATTTACTAAGGCAGAGAGAAAAAAAGATAAGCAAACTTTTTCTGTAGTCCGCAGAGAGATGCCGCCAGAAATCAGTAAGTTTTGATAACACACAAGACTCATCTACGGATTTACACAATATAGATAGTCTATGAGGGCAAATCGATCAGAAATACTTCGAGCCGTGTTGGGATCTTCGGAGGATCTCTAGAAAGCTGTTTAGCTTTACACTATTGTTCAACCAAAAAACAGTTGTCTCGGTTGTTTTTTAAATGATGGAAAAGTGATAGAAACCTGTATTTTTCAGATTCGGAAACTAGACAGTTGAAACCCACATTTCCCTAAGCAAAATCGATATTGGAAAAATTTTTCGAAGCCGATTTTTCTAAGGATTCTTGGAAAATCAGTCTGGATCTCTGGAAATTGACGTAGAAAGAGGTCAGTTTTTTAAATATCGATTTTGCTTAGCGGAAGGAAGGTAGCTTCGAATGTCTAGTTTTCAAATTTGAAAAATGCAGATTTCAAAGTCCATGGAAGCCTGTTCGTAGCTATAAGTTCTTGAAGTCAGCGAACGAAGGGAGTGCAGACGAGCGTTACCTTGTACGTCAACTATGGCGTAATCAATCAATTTTCTTTGTTCCTCGTAGGTGGTATCTCTTTCTATCACATTAGTGCTCCCCAAACATGCATGTGAGTGAGTGCATAAAGTGACTTCTTATGTATACAGAACACGAAAGAAAAAGATGGCATCGAAGATAGAAAGAACAGAAAAAAAGAAGAAAGTAAAGAATGCGTCGTGTTTTTGTCCTTGAAAGCGAAAATACAATGAAAAAAGCGATCACATTAGTCGCAATAAGAAAAAGCGAAAATGGAGCCTTGTAGCGGCGGACATGATCGAAAACGAATTGTCTCACTGGAAGGACAGAAATACTGCGACGTGTCCGTTTCGGGCAAGATGGTGTGCGATCTTTTATGTGTAGTCTAAAACTAGAATCAGTAAGAGCCACAGGCGGCGGAACCACTAGGCTGAGTAACGCTCAAGTCTTATCTGAATTTGGGGCAATTAGGCAGAGCCTTACTTCATTTCACTACTGGATACGGATATTTACACACTTTGTGTTTATGTTGGCCCACAACAGCTATTTCCTAGCTGAAGAAATTCATTTTACTTAGTTGCGTATCAAGATGAGATAAAGTGTGACTCAGCCTCAGCTGCAGATCTTTGAGTACCACTATCTAGATTTTTATAAAAGTTTTTCTATTCAATATTAGGACTGTATATTTTTTCAAAGTGGAAGAACTTATAAAAAAGCGACTTACTAAGAAAGAACCTAAGAACAGAGAATAAAAAGGCGATAACCTTTGTAGGAGATGTAGTTGGTAATCCAGCCCATTTAGCTTTTTTGCTCCTAGCAGATGATAAAAAGATTCCTGCATAAAATCTTTTCATATTTTTAGCTGTTGTGAGTTTTTCACTGCCTTCGGCGGTGTATTTCTCATGCTTTTAAAGAAAAACGAGGTTTATCCTCAAGAAAACAGCATAAAAATAGCGGTCGGAAATGCGTCGAAGTCTGTTTGCCGCCTTAAAGCGTGCAAGAAACGTTTCTAAACCTATCCAGGCCGTTCACTATGATCCGATAGACTCAATTCCTAAAAGCTTTGAATAAATTTTACATCTGACCTTTTTTAATTCATAGAAAGGTTGAGACTGAACCTTACCTAATGCTTTTTCCTAGTTACGCCACCAATTTTACTACACAAAACGTGTTTAAATTCTCACCTTTTTTTAGAAGCAAAGAGCACAAAAGGCGCCTTTTAAACTAAGGCTATTTCTTCTACTAGAAACCATTATCACATGCACCCCTGCTTTTTATTAATAACCAGAAATATGGGAAAAAGTTCATTTCATAGAGGAATGCCTCAAATTGAGCCTTACCCCATTTGAAATCATTCCGGCACCTCTGGTACGAGCTTATATTTCAAATAAACAGCGAAAAACCTACGTATATCACAAGTTCTAGGATTTGCAAAAGCTTTTGGTTTTCATTTAACGTTTCATCTCGGTTAGATAAAATAATAATAATTGTTCACAAGCATTTAGTTACCAAAAGAATTGCTGGTATCGCCCCGAAAGAAATAGGAAGCATGGAAAGGAACTGACATCAGCAATGTGCAGATAAACTTTTCGATTTCTTACACAATCGCTGACTGATGATTCGCGTCCAGTCGAAAATAAAAATTTTCAAACTTTTTTGGTGAATATGACGGGTAGACCATAAAGAATGATGATCTCAGAATTTTCCGTTTATCTCTATCAATTTTTATTGTCGTAACCTGAACTTCTTTTTAAAAGATTCGGTGTGTCATTTTCTGGAAAAACTTAATGAACATTTTTTTTATATGTCGTAGAAATAAAAGAATATAAGTGAACTACTGCGAAGCTTCAATGTTCATTGCTTTCAAAACACAACGAAAAGATATTTATTTTGAACATGATGCTATGCATCAAACTGGAATTGAATGTTTAATATGTTTCTTCTAGAGAATGAAAAGATAAATCTTTTAAAAAGAAGCTCAAGTCTCGGCAATGAAAATTGAAAGAGATAAACGGAAAATACTGAGACCGCTATTCTTTATGGACTACCCGTTAGATAAGTTTTATAATAATTACATTTTTGTTCATACAATACGGTGAAGGATCTGAAAGAAACAGTTCTTTTAGTAAAGGTTATCGAAGCTTTTAAGTTCAAAATTATGGATTTCTTGGTGTTCCGAGACATTTTAAGTATTCCATATCGTCCTTCTTCTATTACATTGTTAACACTGATATTAGTCATAATAACTATATCGGTAACCGCCTTCTAATATTTTATGCTGCTTTTAATTGAAAAAGAAAAAATTACTGTTGTTGTTTATTAGCAGAAATTTCACAGATGAAATCGGTATCGAAGTGGATGGATGAAAAACGCGTTTAAAAAGGATAAAAAAGAATATTCACATTTAGTAATTGTGAAAAAAGGCTAAGTTTGTCTCTGATTAGCATAGTTAGTTAGCGGTTGAGTTAGTGCATCTAATGCGTCTTTAGAACCCCTTGGTGTTTCAGCCAGCTCTCTTTGAACGGTTAGAAAACGACGTTCATCCAGTGACTGTAGGCTATAAACAGGTTTACTATCCATTTCAAAAAAGAAGGCCAGTCACTGTATGTCTAATAACTTTGCACTGGAAGATGCTGGAGACCTGCGGTTTTCGTTATCTGAAACTAAAATCTTGGGGCAACAAGAAAATAAGAGAAAAAGTTTTTTCCAAGTACTTTCAAGTGGTGTACCTTGCACGGACATTTTGTAAGAGTTTTCTGACCACTAAACAATTTTCGGACTTTGAACTCCTAGACGTCGAAAAGATCGCCTAACTCAAGTTCTACAAGTCTAGACTAGTCCCAGCTCGCTATCTGTCGTGCTTCAGGAGTTATAAAGGTTTTCCGCGGACATGCCTATCTCTGTCCGGACGCGGTGGAGAACCTGCAAAAGTGTTGAGACATAGGGAATTGAGTGTGCTGATTATTGTGGCAATAATCAGCAATAATCATTATTGTAGCAAGTCAAGGTTCGTAGGAGCTTATTTCCGAAAAACCGAGTTTTTGCTTATAGACCATAGAACTTTAAATTGACGTGATTCAGTCATTTTATATTCAAACTGGTTCGAATTTTCAGAAAATACTCTAACCACGCTATGTTTTTTTTTTTCGCTTTTCAGGAATCCGTTACAATGTGACTAAAAACTGCATAGAAGTAGAGTACGATAATCAAGACTTTCCATTAAGAGTGCGCTGTGTGACGTACATCGCTAGATGCAGTTGCTAAGAAAGATATCGGATTCTTCTACAGAATAAACTGGTTTATCTAAATTAGTACTGAATGGTTGTCTCACCGCAGCATTGTAGTCGTTTGATTTGAAATATTGTCTTCTTAGATTTGTTACACCTGATACACACTATTTAAAAAAAATCATTATGACAGCAGATTTTTTGCTTGCTTTACGCGATGGTGAATTACCGCATAAAATTAAATGGCAAACGCCACCAAAGGAGAAAGATGATCACACTTATGCAGATAAATTTAGAGGTTCCCTGTTAGGACTAGCCGTAGGAGATGCATTGGGTGCACATGTTGAATTTCGACCCCACAGTTACCTACAACAAAATCCAGTCACTGGCCTTGCCGGTGGTGGTACATGGAGTTTAGAAGCCGGAAAATGGACCGATGATACGTCTATGGCCTTATGTTTAGCAGTGAGTCTCATTGTTCATGGAGGTTTCTATGCATATGATCAGTTAGTGCGATATAAATGGTGGTATAAATCAGGGTACCTGTCATCAACAGGCAGATGCTTTGACATCGGGAGTGCAACAAAAACATCATTGGAGACGTTTCATCAACGACAAAGAGCCCTCGCAAATAAACTGAATATAAACAGCGAAGAAAAAATCGATACTTTAGAAGAGCACGTGATAGTCAAGGAAGAGTTTAATACAAACTGTAGTTATTCTGGCGTAGCAGGCAACGGAGCTCTGATGCGTCTAGCACCCATTCCATTATTTTTTTGGAGGTCTAACACAAAAGCGACACAATTTGCAGCTAAAAGTGCACTTCTAACCCATGGAGATAAAAAAGCTGCCGACGCATGTAGATATTATGCTCTACTAATATGCTGTGCCATCAACGGCTACAGTAAAGAACAACTGCTTAACACGCATCTTCATGTAGACGCTTGGGACGCCGGTTGGTTTGGGCAAGAACGGTTACATGAAGAAGTTATTCGAGTGGCTGAAGGTTCGTATCAGCGGTCTGACGGATTCGAGGGTGGTATAAAAGGCAAAGGGTACATAATCTCAGCCATGGAAGCGGCTCTATGGGCATTTTGGAGTGATGAAGACAAATTTGAGAACGGAGTTTTGCGAGCAATTAATTTAGGGGACGATACCGATACTACTGCAGCTATTTACGGACAGCTAGCAGGCGCTTGTTATGGAGCGAAGGCTATACCACGAAAGTGGTTAGATAAGCTGTATGCAAAAGACTTGATTACATGTCTTGCTGATTGGCTGAAGTACAAGGGGTCAACGTCCGATAGTGATGGCGTAAAAAATCAACAGGCTACATTTCCGAAAAAGAGTACTTTATGTTCTCTCTTGTGATAATTAAACTCTGCAATACAAATAATAATGAGATAGCACCAGTTCATTCCAGATGTTGCTGACCGATTATTTATTGGACAACGTTATCTAGTCTTTTGAGCCAAACTGCCTACCAGTTCTTATCAAAAAATAAAAATAAAATAAGACCGATGAATCTAGTTACATTGACTTTGCATAGTGTGCCAGAGGTTTAAATCTTACGTCATTCGAACTGTCATATGACCACGATAAAAGTGACGTGGGCTTTTGTTTTTACTTTTCTTTCTTCTAGAGAAAATCACATATTTTTGAAGGATGACATAATTCTTCAGGTCATCCTTGAATAACTCAG